TCCTAGATGGGAGTGAAGCCAGACAGCTGGGGTCCCTGTCTCGAGATGTAGTCATTGATCAGGGGATTGGAAGGAGGCAGGAAACTCTCAGCCTCTGGCGGCGACTGTTGTGCAGTGTGAGGGAGAGATACCTGTGCAAGGAGGACCTCCACGTACAGCAAGGACAGTGGAACACGATGGAACAAGGTATCCGGTGCTTAAGGGAGTTAGCTGTACTGGAGATAATCTTTTCAGACGATGAAAGATTCCCTAAAAGTCCAGATGGTGTACAGTGCACCTCCCAGATGTGGTTAAAGTTTGCACGACTCGGGCCAGAAATGTATTCCCGCTACTTAGCAACGCTGCAATGGAGGGAGGGAGAGGACAAGGTGGGAGCATTGGTTAGTAAACTAAGGATGTATGAAGACACTGTCACCGCCCCATTACGAGCCCACGTCTCATCTGTGGAAACCAAACTGGCTGAACACGTCAGAAGCCTGGAAGAGAAAATTGAAGAGGGACACCAGAAGCTAAGAGAGGAAATTAGGGAAGGGATCTTCCATATCTCACCAGGACAAACAAGAGTCTCTGCTATTAGGAGCCAGCGTCCCCCAGCTAAGGAGAGAAGGTACACTCCACGTGGCGATCTATGGTTTTACCTCCGTGAGCACGGAGAAGATATGAGGAAGTGGGATGGGAAACCCACCCCTTCCTTAGCAGCCCGGGTACGTGAACTGAAAAGAGGAACAAGTACCACAAGGAACTCTTCAAGGGTAAACGCTGCTCCAGTCTCTCGTGGGCAAGACTCCAGACGGTACAGGAATGATGATACGTCTGATCCTCTTGAAGGGACCTCCAGGTCATACCCACAAGAAGAGCACAATGAGTACCATGACCAGGACTAGGGGTGCCCTGCCTCTAGCCAGGTAGAGGAGAGGGACAATCGAGTCTATTGGACAGTGTGGATTCGGTGGCCTGGCACATCAGAGCCACAAAGGTATAAGGCCTTAGTGGACACCGGTGCACAATGTACTTTAATGCCATCAAGATACGTAGGGGCAGAATCCATCTCCATTTCTGGGGTGACAGGGGGATCCCAACAGCTGACTGTACTGGAAGCTGAAGTGAGCCTGACTGGGAAGGAAGGGCACAGACACCCCATCGTGACTGGCCCAGAGGCCCCGTGCATCCTTGGCATAGATTACCTGAGGAGTGGGTATTTCAAAGACCCAAAAGGACTTCGTTGGGCTTTTGGCATAGCTGCTGTGGAGACGGAGGAAATTAGACAGTTGAACACCTTGCCTGGTCTCTCAGAGGACCCCTCTGCTGTGGGACTGCTGAAGGTTGAAGAACAATTGGTACCGATAGCCACAGCAACAGTGCACCGTCGGCAATACCACACCGACCGAGACTCTGTGACCCCTATACATAAGATGATCCGTGAACTGGAGACCCAGGGGGTGGTCAGCAAGACTCGCTCACCCTTTAATAGCCCTATATGGCCAGTGCGTAAGTCCAACGGAGAGTGGAGGCTGACGGTGGATTACCGTGGACTCAATGAAGTCACACCACCCCTGAGTGCTGCTGTGCCGGACATGCTGGAGCTCCAGTACGAGCTGGAGTCCAAGGAAGCCAAGTGGTATGCCACCATTGACATTGCCAATGCCTTTTTCTCCATTCCTTTGGCAGCGGAGTGCAGGCCACAATTTGCTTTCACTTGGAGAGGTGTGCAGTACACCTGGAATCGACTGCCTCAGGGGTGGAAACACAGTCCCAGCATTTGCCATGGACTGATCCAGACTGCACTGGAAAAGGGTGACGCTCCAGAGCACCTACAGTACATTGACGACATCATTGTATGGGGGAACACGGCGGGCGAAGTCTTTGAGAAAGGAGAGAAGATAATCCAGATTCTCCTAAGAGCCGGTTTTGCCATTAAACGGAGTAAGGTCAAGGGACCTGCTCAGGAAATTCAGTTCCTAGGAGTGAAGTGGCAAGATGGACGCCGCCTAATTCCCATGGAGGTGATTAACAAAATAGCAGCCATGTCCCCACCAACCAGCAAGAAGGAAACACAGGCTTTCTTAGGTGCTGTGGGCTTTTGGAGGATGCATATCCCTGAGTATAGTCAGATTGTAAGCCCTCTCTACCTTGTGACACGGAAGAAAAATGATTTCCAGTGGGGCCCCGAACAACAACAAGCCTTTGAACAAATTAAACAGGAGATTGCCCATGCGGTAGCCCTTGGGCCAGTAAGGACAGGACAGGACGTGAAGAACGTGCTCTACACCGCAGCCGGGGAGAATGGCCCTTCTTGAAGCCTCTGGCAGAAAGTGCCTGGGGAGACCCGAGGACGACCGCTGGGATTCTGGAGTCGGGGATACAAAGGATCTGAAGCCAGCTATACACCAACTGAGAAAGAGATCCTGGCTGCCTATGAAGGAGTTCGAGCTGCCTCAGAAGTAATCGGCACCGAAGAGCAGCTCCTCCTGGCACCCCGACTACCAGTGCTGGGCTGGATGTTCAAGGGAAGAGTTCCTTCCACACATCACGCCACCGATGCCACGTGGAGTAAGTGGATCGCTCTGATCACCCAGCGAACCCGGATAGGGAACCCTAATCGCCCTGGGATTCTGGAAATTATCACCAATTGGCCCGAAGGTGAGAGTTTCGGACTATCCTCTGAAGAAGAGGAGGAGAAGGTGACATGGGCTGAGGAGGCCCCACCATATGACAAGCTACCAGCAGATGAAAGGCGATATGTGCTCTTCACGGATGGCTCCTGCCGCATTGTAGGGACAAACCGAAAATGGAAGGCAGCTGTATGGAGTCCCACACGGCGAGTTGCAGAAGCGACCGAAGGACAAGGTGGGTCAAGTCAGTTTGCAGAGCTTAAAGCCGTTCAGTTGGCTTTGGATATAGCTGAACGAGAGAAGTGGCCAAGACTCTATCTCTACACCGACTCATGGATGGTGGCCAATGCTCTGTGGGGATGGCTGGAGCGATGGAAAAAGGCCAACTGGCAGCGCCAAGGGAAACCCATCTGGGCGGCGGAGATGTGGCAGGACATCGCTGGCCGGGTAGAGAAGCTGAGTGTGAAGGTCCGTCACGTAGACGCCCATGTAGGCAAGAAACGGGCTAATGAGGAGCATCGTAACAACGAGCAGGCGGACCGAGCTGCCAGGATTAAAGTCTCTCAGGTAGATCTGGATTGGCAGCACAAAGGAGAATTATTTCTGGCTCGATGGGCCCATGACGCCTCTGGTCACCAGGGGAGAGATGCAACATACAGATGGGCTCGTGACCGAGGGGTGGACTTAACCAAGGACATTGTCTCACAGGTCATCCATGACTGCGAGACGTGTGCTGCCATCAAGCAGGCCAAGCGGGTGAAGCCTCTATGGTATGGTGGACGGTGGTCAAAGTACAGGTATGGGGAAGCCTGGCAAGTTGACTACATCACGCTCCCCAAAACCCGCCAAGGCAAGCACTACGTACTGACCATGGTAGAAGGGAGTACTGGATGGTTGGAGACATACCCCGTGCCTCATGCCACTGCCCGGAATACCATCCTGGGCCTTGAAAAACAAGTTCTGTGGCGACACGGCACCCCGGAGAGAATTGAGTCTGATAATGGGACCCATTTCAAGAATGGCCTCGTAGACACCTGGGCCAAAGAGCACGGCATTGAGTGGGTGTATCATATCCCCTACCATGCACCAGCTGCTGGAAAAGTTGAGCGGTGCAACGGACTGCTGAAAACCACCCTGAAGGCACTGTGTGGGGAGACTCTCAAACACTGGGAGCTGCATTTAGCAAAGGCCACCTGGTTGGTCAACACCCGAGGCTCCATCAATCGAGCTGGCCCTGCCCAATCAGAACTTTTGCATACTGTAGATGGAGATAAAGTCCCCGTGGTACATATGAGAGGAATGTTAGGGAAGACTGTATGGATTAGTCCCACCTCAAGCAAAGGCAAACCCATCCGAGGGATTGTTTTTGCTCAAGGACCTGGTTCCACCTGGTGGGTAATGCAAAAAGATGGGGAGACACATTGTGTACCACAAGGGAACCTAATTTTGAGTGAGAATGGTCTGTAATGTTTCATTGTATATATATATATATAGATAGATGTATATAGTTTTAAAGGGATATAGTTTTTTTAAAGGGGGTTAATTTGGGCATGACATGGATGGCATAGAATAAGGGGTGGATAATGTCCTAGTTAGGACAACTGAGACCAGTTCATCAGGGTATGGGTGTAACCCAAAACTGTGTATTCTATAGCCCTCCATGCCATTTCCCAGAAACTGTTATCAATGAACCATTTACACCATCTGCCCATAGAGCCTGACTCCTCAGGCTATAAACTAGGTGTTAAGAGGCCTGTGAGATAGGAGGATGCTCCTGTCCTCACACCCTGTGTGGAACTCCCCGCCCTGAGGGAAGTGCTGAGCATTCCTGCCTGAACTGCAGGATATATAATCTTGGAGTCTTGGAACATTTTTAACCACTCTGTGGGATCCAGAGAAGGACTGCGGCTCATCGCTCTCAAACAGACTTGGATCACCCTATACTGGACTCCAATCACCACTTTGACCAGACTGCAACAGCTCTCCCCCCAGCATCTCACTGCAATCACCACTTTTTGACTAGACTGCAACAGCTCTCCCACCAGCAGGTTCTTCCCCTCTCCCTTTACTTTGGACTCAAGCGGGGCCCAAGGAACACCACGTTGTTCATGCCCCAGGGTACTGGGTTATACATTTGGTTTTTGTGGGTTAAGACCAAGTGTTTGTTTGTAGGATTGTACTTACTGTAAATTAGTTTAGTAAATTGTTTATTCTGAACTTATAATCTCACGTCAGCCTTGAGAGTGCTGGCGCGTGGCGCGTTGGGGGTCCTTGATACACAGCGGGTTAGTTGCGAAGACCCCAGGCCTCGTGTCAGTTCCCCCTGCTGGTTAACTCTTAAACCAGCACACACATACAACAAATATTCTGTATTTTTGTTTTCTACAGATGACTGCTAATGATTGTCAAGACCCTCCAAAGTACTGGACAATCCATGGACTGTGGTATGATCATAGGGTGTTTGTATTTCAGCTGGGAAAAGAAAAATCAAATCTTGTACCAGGATGTTTGGTGGCTTGGGGTTTTGGTTTGGTTTTGTTTGTTTGTTTGTTTTTGTCTTAATCTGTCTGTTCTTATGATTCCTTGAAACAAAATCAAAACCCTGTGGTTTGACATAAAACTGAAATACACTTCTGTATCTCATGACTTGCTGAGTTTCTGAAATCCTCTTGACACATGAGTATTTTATTTATATGTCTCCTTATAAGATTGGTAGTATTCTCAACCAGAAAGAGAAATATAGTTTACCCTTTTTTTTTTCTGAATACACAGAATTTGTTAATATCTCATAACTGCTTGTGGCTTTAATTGTCTTAACTCAGTACAAGTATTGCAAAAGTATAGGAAAAACCAATTTGTTTAAAGGAATCAACTCACTGGAATTGGTGCCAATGGCAGCAATTCAAAAGTTTTCCTGACAAATACACATAAAAAATCAGTACAGAAGTTTGTTAAGCTATGCCTCCTGGAAAAGGGAACAGCATTTATGACTAGTTTCCCTGTGGGAGTCTTGGTGATACTGCAGAAGCATCAGTTGGTGCAGCAGTTGAGGAGGTCAGTGCTGTTAGTGCCACCAGTGACGTCATGTGCAAGGTCCCTCCATATCATTGACACACCAATTTGACTTTTACATGGAATGAGAGGAACTGGAAGGCCAAAGAAAGAACTTCATCGTGAGAAATCTTTTGGTCGTAATTAACATCCTGAATATAGATTCTGATGGGTTACTTGCATTTTTAAGTAAATTCTCCAGCTGTAATCCTGCATATTTAAAATTCCCGCCAATGATACAAAATAGAATGCTATTAGTTACATTTAGTGAGTAAGGAGACATCTTTTTCCACTTTTTTATTTTTTGCTTCCCCAGGCCTGACAAAGGTGAAGACTGTAATAGGACATGGCATTTCAATGTCACTGAGATTAAGGTATGTATTTAAAACAAAAAGACATACCAAGCAGAGCTGACTGCAGTTACTTTTGCACATCCTACATGCAAAATCTGTAGCTTATAACATTTCACTCTTAATGTTTGCTGAGAGGTATGCTTTTTTTTAAGGACTCCAGAAATTCATTAGGTGCTTCTGGTACAACTTGAAGTTGCAGTGCTTGTGATCATTAGCAGCTGTGCCTACTTGGATTTTGTGGACGTGTGGTTTGACTCATTCAGCCATATCCTCTTATCCACATACACGGTGGATCTGCAGTGGCAAAAAGTACCTGTGAAAGAGATTACAGTCAGTTGATGTTCTCTCTTTACATTTTCTACGGCGCAGCCAGAACTCAGAAAATAAAAGAGTTAAGAGTATGGTGTTCTGTGTGTTTTCTCCTAGGGCATTAGTCCTTTTAGGTTCTTTTTCTGATTAAAAAAATCCATATTTCACTCACATGTTGTAGTCAGGGATAAGAGATTTGAGCTGACAAATGTGAAAAACTGCATGTTTGAACAACTTCTGCAGGGACAGTTGAAGGAAAATCTCTACTTTGAAGCAGTGTGTCAGTATAAGTGCATTCAGATATTTAGGTAGGTGTATCAATCTGTTGTTTCCCCTAACAGCATTTTCAGAATACTGGGGAAAAGGACCTTTTTCTGCACTAAATGTTTCAGTTGGGAATGTCGAAAGATGAGGCTTCAGTTATAGAAAATGTATTAATGTGTGTAGATTGTGTAAGCCATAGCTGTTCAACACTGTAGGTGCATTTATTAATTGTGATTTTTTTTAGGATCTTATGTCAGACATGAGACAGTATTGGCCCGATGTGCTTCATTCGTCTCTGAATCGCACCCAGTTCTGGTGAGTTTAAAAAAACAAACCTAAAGAACATTTTGGATATTATTTTATAAAAAATCCATTTGAGTAGTTCTTCAGGTGAGATGTGTGTGAGAAACAGTGTCCAGGAGGCAGTGTGTCTTGTCAGTCTCATTTAGTATATAAATCTTTTTTCTTGTAAAATGCAACTGTTGAAGAGAGGGCTCTGGCAGAGGTTTTGGAGAAATGAAACTTAGTGAGGAAATGTTTCCTCCCTTCTTCCCCAGGGAAGAGAAACAGGTGCTGTCAACACAATAAATCTGAATAGCAGTGGTACTCTGGGATGTCACAGCTAGCTGCAGGAGAAGCTTCCAGGTCTCTTTTCCTAGCTAGATTCACTGTGTTGCTAACCTTGAGAGAGCTTTCCTTTTAGGCTTCCTCACAGAGGAAGAAATAGTTTGCATTTACAAGGAAGAGGTGAGGATGGAATTTGATATGCCTGTGCTGAATGGTCAGAATTAGCTGCATCTGCATAATTATTTCTATGCTTTTTTACAGGTCTGTGCTGCAAAATAAAGTAGCACTGTGAAGAGTGATTTGAAATTTGAAAAGAAAGAATTGAAAAAAAAAGACTCCCACCTGAAATCCATAGGCAGTCTTATTAAAGATCATGCTGTTTAGTCTTTCAGTAGACTTTAGAATTGATAGAAATATATGATTAGCTTTTACCCATTTTTTTGTCCTATTTGAATTTGTTTGCCATAAAATTGTAAGAAGTTCTTTCTTTTGCACTGTGTTCCTTGCTATTAGAGGAATTGATGATGGACTAGGAGCAAGACTTGAGAGCAGCCCTATGAAAATACTGCCACAGGCCAAAGTAAAAGTTAATGCTAAAGTCTTGTTCTTAGCAGCTTGTGCAGTTTCTCTGTTCCGCCCAGAGTAAGGCTTAATCCTTTGAGTTCTGAAAAATTTTTAGTGCTTTGAAAGTGCATTTGACATAAAAGACTCACAGAATCACAGAATATGTCAAATTGGAAGGGACCCACAAAGGTCATCAATTCCAACCCTTAGCTCTGCATAGGACCATCCCTAAGAGTCACACCATCATTCAAACGCTTCTTGGACTATGTCAGGCTTGGTGCTGTGACCACTTCCCTGGGGAAACTGTTTCAGCAAAGAACCTTTTTCTCATATCCAACCTAAACTTCCACTGACACCACTTCAGGCCATTTCCTCAGGTCCTGTCACTGGTCACCAGAGAGAAGAGATCAGAGTCTGACCCTCCTCTTCCTCTTAAGAGAAAGTTGTAGACTGTGATGAGGTCTCCCTTCAGTCTCCCCTTCTCCAGTATGAACAAACGAAGTGACCTCAGTCTCGACTGAAACATAAAACGTTTAGAGATATTTGTTTTCTAGGCAAATTCTTGCGATTCTGACCTCCAAACATCTCTTTGCCATACACTGGGAGATCGCTGTATCATAAGAGCATGATACATATTTACTTCATAAATATTTGGATGATGCTATAATTGAAATGGTGGGAGTGATCTTTCTTAGTTTTGCTTTTTATATGTGTGCAGTGTCTACTTCACATGTGTAGCCTTTCAGATACTTGATTTAAATATAATGAATAGCTTGCACACCATATATATATGCAAATAATATTTTCTAAAATTTAAGTTTTGCTTTTGTCTTATAGGAAACATGAGTGGGACAAACACGGCACTTGTGCAGCCACACTTGAGGTCCTCAATTCTCAGAAAAAATACTTTGGTAAAGCCTTAGAACTCTACCAGCGTATTGATCTCAACAGGTACATAAATGAACTCGGTGGTCTGCCTTTTATTTCAAACAGTTTGTAAAAGTTTCAAATCTAACCTAAAATGAAAGTATAAATCTGATGGCAGAAGGAAAATTACTGTAAATTATTTTTAATATTGACATTCAGAAGAAGGGTTGTGTACTCTGAGAAGCATGTCTCTGGTCATATCAGAGTCTAGTAAGCCAACACTGTCTTCACAGCATCATTGTAGACAGTGTGAGCCAGTAGATTTTTGAGAAGCTCTGTTGGCTATATCTCTCTACCAAAAGCTGAGGTACCTGTAAAATTCTAAATTAAGTGATGAAGCTGCCCACACTTCTGAGTCATACTGAGGCCCAAACACTTGTTTTTAAGACAGTGCTCTGCTCAGAGAAAAACTGCAGGCAAAATTGTGCAGAGCATCCTGGGAAAAGGCTGAGGTGACAGCAAGACAGGATGTTCTGAAGGGCAGTGTTCAGCTGCTGCAAGCAGCCCTCTGCTGTCCTTTCCAACAACCCCGATATGACACTCTTGCTTTGTCCTAGGGACTGATTCCTTCTCATGGTTCCAAAGTACTGGCCATTCCAGATTCAAAATCTTGATAGGGAATGTTGTGGCTTGTCCAAGCACTGTAGGTATGCATTCTGACTGCAGGTGAATGCCAGAAAGAGTCCTTTCCTGATCAGTGCTTGGTATGGATGAGAGAATGTTTGACTTAAATTTTTTGGTCATGGATTGTCTATCTGTATTAGTAGACAGTATCTGAGAGAGGAAATTGTTTTGTATCTAAAAACATACCTTAAAAAAAGCCCAACAAAACAACCCAACAAAAGGGAAAAATCCTGTTTATGTTCTGTCAGTGTCTTGTCCAAGAAATCTCCTAATCAAAGTCTCATTTAGTTTGCATATGCACAAAGGAAATAAGTCTTTCTTCCCTCCTGCCTCCATTTTTGTAGGTGTGTTTTAAAAGCAGATTTCTGTAGACATGGTGCTTAAGAGCATGTCATATGTAGTGTTAAAATTAATAATGTCTGATAAGCCAATTGCCTAAGTAGCTGTGATGGTGTGACTAAAACATGTACAGATGGTACAGTGACCGTTTATTTGACTCTGCATCAGCGTGTGCAACATTGCAAAAGAATAGAGACTGAAGCATGTTGAAATTAATTGCTCAGAGCTTATTATCCATTGTAAAAATTAATATAATTAATGTTATCTTTACTGAAAAGAATGAAGACTGTCAGTGTTCTCACAGCATTTCATTTATATATAAATGAGAAAATTTAATGTTAGTGATTTAAAAAATTGTTTCCTAAAAGCAAATTATTAAAAAGAGGACATCATGCAGAGTTCTGTAAGAATCAACAGAACACTGTCTATTTTATTGACCTCCTTATATCCAGTGTAAAATGACTATGTAAAGCAGCTTGTCCTTTCATCTGTTGAGTAAAGTCTTCCCTGTGCTGAACCTGACCTTGGAAGGATTGAGCATTATCAGCACTTATGAATTAAATTCTGCAAGATACTGACCATAGCCACTCCTTAGAGAAGAAGCTGGGACACAGAGACTCATCACATGTTGGGTCCTGAGTCTCGTCAGCTTGGGAATGTGGACTCCTCTCAGGACTGAATCCAAAGGAAGGGGTATCCAGGCTAGAGGTTCTTGAGTGTTACCTCGTTTCTCTTATGTGAACAACTTTCCTTTTCAAAGACATATTTATTAGGAATCATTTCTGCCCTGACATTAATGTTGATCCAGATTCACCCACCATATCCTTCTCCCAGCGTGCTCTGTGCCTCCCACCCCAGCAAGCCCACCCAGTGTTCAATTATGAGAGTGCCCAGAGCAGCCTCACGAGTCTGCCTCTGTCTCCTCCTGGTGGCAGGAACACAGAGTTGTTTCAAGGCAAGGGAAAAGAGGCAATTAAACTACATGCCCTACCTGGCACTGAACAGAGCACTCTGCAAGTCCCTTTCCCCTAGTGATACCTGAAGGCTCAGCTATCCCCGCTCCTCAGATTCAGGCGGGTGAGAGGGTTCTTCCTGACCCTACTGAGTTAGATGGGAAATGGCCCTTTAGAAAAGGGGAGCATTTCCTAGGCCTGGCAAAGAATGGAAGACAAGTTGCCTTTGCTCCCCATCACTGTAATGCCAAATTCTCCATGAGATTATCTGATTTACCTAATGATTATGAAGGTATGTTTGCAGGAAACATGGAAAAATGTTTTATCTTTGTTTCAGTTGTCTCTTGAAAGCTGGGATAAAGCCAAGCAGTTCGTATTACAAGGTAAGAGGTGATCTTTTACGAAACAAAATCATGTGCATGCACTTTTTTCAGCAGGAGTCAACTAATTTCTATAGAGCAAGTGATCTTTGTAAAATTGGATTGTTTTTTAAGGTTGTGCTTTTTCTAAAAGTTTGTGTGAGCTTAGCAGGTGTGGGAGCTGTTGGAAAATGTGCTTGTGACATTAGTCTCTATAAGCTTTTTAATTTTTCAGATGACTGCCATAAAGGAAGCTCTTACAAGGTTTTATGGTGTAATGCCCAAGATCCAATGCCTTCCTCCAGAAGAGGTAAAAACCCCAAACAAACAAACACTCCCTAAACTTTCCAAAATGGAAAAAAAAAACAAAAAAATTTTTTAAAGCATTTTTATTAAAAGGAAAAAGGCAAAAATAGAGTAAAAAAAAATCTTCAGTATGGTGAAATTTAGGTCTAGGTGTTCCTTGTGTATGCATCTCTTTGCAGTTTAGATATTGCTTGATTCTTGGAGTTGAGTTTATAAAAACATTGCTTACATACTAGCACCACTGAGTTCAATTTATGTTATTGTTACCACAGTCTTAATGCAGAAATGTCGTTACTGCAGGAAGTGTCCATTCTTTACCTACTACCTTTGCTCCCAGAAAGTGGGAGCACTGGGTTTTAAAGGACTCTTTGTCTTAAAAGACTTAGACATCTCTTGTGTGAATGCTGAAACCACCATGCTAGAGGTGTTGCTGTAGCTGAGCACTTTTCACTCCCCCTGCTAAAGCTTAATAGCAAATTACTAAAGCCAACAAGAGTGAGGTACTTGAAGCAACAAAGGAATATTAGTTGAATATCACCCACCTATTGATGTTAAAGAAATACAGAGCTAACGCCAAGCCCAGTTTCTAGCTCTGTTCACTGTAGTTCTGCCATTGCTTTTAGTACAGTTGGGATACTGCCCCAATTATGTGAAAGTAATTTACAGCTTGAGTCTCCTGTGCTTAACAGCTGAAGGTAATGGGTAAGAGAAATTTAAAAGTACGTCCCAGTTATTTAATGATAATCCTTTTCAGAGTTTCAGCCTTGTCCATGCCTGAAGTGCAGGATGGAGGTACTTTGATGTTTGAAACATATTGCACCCTTGCTGTTCTTAAGTTTCTTAAAAAAAAAAAACCACACAAAAACCCCCCAAAACAAGCAAACCCACCCAACAACACTACCCCAAACTAACAACAAAAAAACCCTCACCACAGTTGGTTTTATCTTGTACATATGTTTTGTCCTGCTTAGTTGTTTCAAAACCAGTCTTTTTCCACATAATCTTTGTTAGACCTGAGCATTTAGGGGGATTTTCATGTAATCTTTTTGCCACATGAGAGGCCGCTGTGCCTGCCTGCTTTATTCATGGACAATATTTTTCTTCCTAGCCTGTTCTTTAGTCCAAAAATGACATTTCTGCTCCTTTTGACAGCTTGCTTTTGTATTCTTTTCAGTAAAAGCTGTTATAAAATCGAGTTTCTTTTTTCATTTTTGGAGAATTTTATTTGTTTCAATTCTTGTCCTGCTATGTACCCTTCAATATTCACAGAGTTCAACCAGAACTCATCATTAAGGTGAATAGCTTCTCTGCACTTCTCCCCATAAAGCTGATCTTATCCCTCATGTTTCTAGGGTGAAGAAGCACAGACAATTGGCCAGATTGAATTCTGCTTCACCAAAGAACTGCAACTAAGAAACTGCACAGCACTGAAGGGTGGATCCAACGCAATGCAGGCTCCCTTGAAGCTTGGAACTGAGGAGTTGTCTGTCTGCAATGATACTCTCCCAACCTATTATCCTTCAAAGGTCCAAGATCACAAATGAAGCCATATGAGTTTGAAAACCTTTTTAAACAGCAACAAAAAATTGTAATTATTGTAATATTACAACCCCCTGTCCGTATCACAGGCATACTGTGAAGATTTCTGCTGGAAAACACAGTTCTTTTGCCATTAAAGGAGAATGGTCGACATGACGGGATTGGAATCTGATTTATAGCTTTGTCTGGCTTTTTTTGCCTGCTTATGGTTTGAATCAATGTTCAAAAGAGAACTGTGACTTAATTTCTCTTGCAGTTAAGTCTGCCACTTTAGCCACTTTTGGTTTTTACCAATGAGTCAGGGAAATTATGTAATTCTTTGTTTTGAAAGGATGTTGTCTCTCTGACATGAGATGGCAATTGCTTGAGAAGAAAGTACTGTAAACAAAAAGAACTTTGAGACCTGTCTGGAGGTCCATTCCCAGACATAATACCTGCTGCCTTACATAAATTTGCTCTCCGGAAGTGCAGAACAGAGACACTGTCCTCACTTTCCTCACTCAGGGATCACAGCTGACCAAAGACAACTTTCGTATAACTTCTTAGTGAAGTGAAGTTCTCCAGGGTTGGGCTTTTCTGCCTAAAAGACCCCAGGAAGATTGTATTTGTAGCCTTACCTATTCTTTGATTATTGTTGCAAAGTAGCTCCATACAGTCTTGAGGAACAACTGATCTTAGAACTTAATGCTAGTATAGGAAAATTTTAGGCCCTAGAAATGTGTTGTTATTAATTTTTTGTTGTATTTGAGCATTTAGCATTATACACAAGTGTGAGTGTCTGCACTTCTATATAAAACTGAGATTGTTGTGTAGTCACTCTATTCCAAGAAACAGCTTTTTATAGTTGAAACAATAAATGCTACAGGATTTTCAGTAAAAAGTGCAAATGTTGGCAATAGTGCATCTGTACTCCATAATAATCAGTAACATGACACAAAGTTGGATGTTTCCAAAGGGGACCAAACTTTGATGACGTCCTCTACACAGTGCTGTGTTGTTCTGTGTGTCTCAAATTGTCTTTCAAAGAAAGACACTTATGGCTCAGGGAACCATCTGTTAGAAGAATATTACTGTGAAAACATGAAATGCAGTCTTAGAAATAAATTTGCTATTTTTGGGGGGTTTAGAAGCTATTCATGTTTACTTTCATTTTTTACTGTCACCATTTCTCTACCACATTTCATTTAACTCTATTACCTTCCCATTACAGAATGCTGTCAGTTTTTTAGTCCTTTGTTCTTGCAGTATAAAATATATTTTCTTTTATAATGCCAAATAATGCCTAGGGAGATAAAATATACAGTATGAGTTCTCAGCAGTTGAAGTGTAGTGCATTAATTTAAATTGAGGAAAGCCAGTAACTTCAAGGGCAGACTTTAAAAGGAAGTGACACAGACGCTAACAGCCTGCACAGTGAGAGGCTCAAAGGTAAAGCTGATTCTTGCCAAAGGGAGACAGCAGATTCACACAAGACTCAGAAATGACCAACCTCTGCAGCAGAGTAGATAGTATGGCTTCCATGCATTTTTTTTTAGCCTTATTTTCAAATGCAAGAAATGTGAGGGAACTGATAAGTTTTAAAACTTTGAGGAGAAAAGAACATAATCCAAAATGAGGGAGGGAAACATGCATGCCAAACAGCAGCCTGAAACTGAGTAAGTGACTGATGAAAAGTAAGGGTTGGCTAAAAATAACCTCACAGACTCTAAAGTTCTGTTTAAAGGGACATACCTGAAGTACTGCATTTGCCTTAAAAAAACCACACCCACATACTTTTTATTTTGCCAACATTATTACACATAAAATATTTAAATTTGCTATGGTTAATTTATTAGTAGTAGCAGTAAAACACTATATATGACTATCATTGCTTGGTTTTTGACAATCTCACCAGCCTAACCTCTAAGAAGATGTAAATGTCTTTTAAAAGCTACTGATTGATTTTTTTATACAGGGATGTGCCAAGACACTTTAATGTTTCATGTGATGTATTTAAGGGATGCTTCAAGGGATATGTCTGTATGTGGGCAACCAGGAGAGCAGATGAATGAATCCTAATACCACTTCAGACCAAAGATCATGTCCAGCCCTTTACGTTCTCTCTAGCAATGGCTCACAGCCAGTTACAAGCCTTGTAAATTGCTTTCCATCAAAATGTATATAGTTTCAAAGTTGGATTAACACAGTTTAAATACAAGAAGTAAACAAAGTTATTTTGGGAGCCTTAAAAATCAGTTCTGAAAAGTGTCATTCACTTCCTTAAATAATGTTGTCAGACTTGAAAATTCAGCATAGCTTGGGGGTGATGGGGCCTATATTCTTTTCTGCATCATTAAATAAATTGACTAAATTTCAGCAGAAAGGTTGTTCGTGCAGTCTTGGTGGTTTAAAACACTAGTCAACTCCACAACAGGACTTAGCTTGTTTATACCCTTTGTCCGTCTGCTCTCTCATGCAAAATATTAAGCATCCCTTGGCATGTAGATTAGAGGATTCCAAGGACAGCTCCTCTTCCTGGAGCTTGGGCAGGTTCTTTTCTCTGTTCTCTCTCTCTGTCCTCATGGCCTCACTGAGCCTTTCTCAGCTGCACAGGAGCCCAGCTTCAGCCAAGTTAAGGTGGGGGGGAAACAGACTGGAAAATTCAGCTTCTACTGAGTTTCATTAGGTAGCTACCCACATGCATGTTTATTGTGCTTAAGGGCACATCTGTCTCTCCCTACCAGCAGCCACCTCATCTGCCACTGCCAACTGCAACAGGAGATGGGAGAAGCCTGGGGGACTTCTCCCCATCACTCCTGCTCTTAGTGAGGGCAGCAGCTGGTTGCTGTTGCCCAGCTGATAGGCAAAGCTACCTCTGCAGGCCGAAATAGAGGTGGCACAGGCCTCTGGCTGTGTCCTTGTTCTGCACCCTCAGTGGCTGGAGAGTGCTGGGCTATGCTGCTGGCCCCAGCTGCTACCCATCGGAAGGAAGAAAGTGGTGGCAGGATTGCAGTGCCCACTCAGCACGTCAATACACGGCAAATCAAGTTCCACAAATGGGGACAGGCCAGGTATCTACAGCAGCATGTGCTTTACTTTTATAGTGGGGAAGGAACGAGTTCTTGAATTTGGGCACCTCTGTTCTGGTGTGGTGGTGCTTCATTCAGCCGTGTTCTGGATCTGGCTCTAAGCACCATTAAGCCAAGGCTGTAGAAGGTTAATGATGCTGCTAGCAGTGTTATTGATGCCTGATGATGGTACCGATGATGCAAAGGTAAATTGTCAGGACTTTGCAAGTCACTTTCCTAGGAATGGAGCAATCGATGATGAGGAATGTTGTACTTATTCTAAATTCAGATTGTCTTGCTGCTAAGGCAGCTTCCTTCACAAGGGTCACTGCGTGCTTCCCATCCTTGTAAGTATTCACAAAGTTGCTCTAGATCACCCAGAGTTGATACAAATTATTTGTTTTAGAAGGGATTTAAATTTCTTGTGCTTTGAAGAATAAGAGCTTTAGTATACAGCCTAAGTGAGAGCTGATGTGGGAGATGGGCAGAGTATTTTGTTTGTGTGCTATGATTTTCAGTATTCCTTACCCCAGAGTACCCTGGAGCATCACAGACTGGACAAGGATTAGATAGACCTCAAGGGCAGCCAAGCCCAGCCATGCTCACAGATTGTTGGTACAAAATCTATCAATATACTCAGCATGAAAATCACAGCGCTGACATTCATACACAATGCTCAGTCTGAAAGACTGGTCTTTCAGTAATCTTCTATAAAAAAGAGGCCAAAATTACCACATTTGATAAGAATTTTAAGGCAGTGTCATAAAATTCTTAAGCAAGCTGAAGCATACCAGGGTGCTAGCTATAAGAAATACTTTTCTGAGTACAGCCTCATCTACCAGAGAAGAGGCTGTTCACTTAAGTTTTTTCTGTAACTCACACAATTGTTTGCGTTAGAGACCCGTGTCTGCACGTAAATCAGAGGAGACGAGCCAAAACAAAATTAGCAAGAGCTAAGAGCACAGCAGTTACCTTGTAATTACAATCTCTATAAACAAGCATGATGCATCCCAGCAGTTAACCGACATTAGATCACTTACTTCTGCTTAGTATTGTTGAGTAAGGCTTCCTGCTGTCAGCCTTGAAGAGGCTTCTGTCTTTCCAAAGTATTCAGCTGAGGGTGGAGAAGCTGCACATACTTGTAGCAGAGATTGGAAGAGCTGCCATGTCACCTGGCTGCTGTCATTTTAGCCCATCAGCCTTCCACAGATCCGACTCCCTTACCGAGATTTCACAGGTTATGATCATGTCTAGGTGACTTGCGCTATCAGTTTCCAGTCCCAGCTGTTGTGGGCTTGTGTTGAAAAGAACATTGTGAAGCGGCTGTCCTACCTCATAAACCATGATTTGCAGATATTTGCCAAATGCCTGGGGTATGCATTTGTCAAGGATTTATTAGCTAGGAGGCTGGCTGACTGATGCGTGAAGTGGGAACCACTTTGTTGTCTTCCAGGCTCTCAGGTGTTATAGGCTTAGAATACTGTTATCCTACTGAGGCAGTTGTTTTATACATAAGTCAGCTGGCCCTGACTTATTTTTTATCCTTCAGCCCCTGGATATCTTCAGAGATTTCAGTCTTGCAGTTTCTGTGGGATTCAGTGAGCAGCTTGTCATTTCTGAAGCCTACTGCATGATAATCACTGTAACAAAATAGCTCTGGGATGCAAACTATCCTCTCATCTATAATACCTCATGCTGTTTTCTCTTTGATTCCCTTCATTATCCTCAGTGACTTGAGGGATGAATGGACCAGCTCTTTGATTTCACAGGGTAACCAAACTATTTACGCATAGATATTGTACCCCTCTATGATTTTGAGGGATTCTGACTGCAATGATCACTGGAGGTCTGGAGGAAGGTAGGCCTATTGAGGGACAGCTTTTAATCTTTTATGCCTTCGGCACCTTTTTTTTGGCCTATCTGGCTGATTAACAGGCTTGCTGTCACACTCACACCTGACCAAGAACAATGTCTCAAAACTTATTAAATCAGTCACTGAATGAGTCTGGGGCCTCCACAATTACTTAAACAGAAATATGGCACGGATAGGTCGGTCTGTCTGGCAGACGGGAGAACAGGGAAATCGGGGTATGTTTTCTTAGCTCTGCAACTATCCTTCTGCAAG